GGCACAGGGAGCAGGAGGACGGGATGCTTCGTGCATTGATTTCTGTCCGGAAGCCCCTTCCTGGATCCAGCCTCTGCCTTCAGCAAAGGCTTGCTTGGGCTGCCATCAACCAGGTGGTGCAGCTGCCTGGTCATACCGCAGAGCTGCAGAGGGGGGCCAACTGCTTCCTGGTGAAAGACCTGTCACTCTGTATTATTAGCAGTTACTCATTCCATCTGGTGCTAAGTGTGACACCAGACTACCGAGAAGTCTGAGGCTGTACTGATACCTAGCCCATCTCTGGCTCCTTGTTCGGGCCTGCAAACATGGTGCTGTTATCCTTCTATTTTAGACCAAATACAAGATTGCCAGCTTCAGAATCACACAGGACTCTTTGGAAGATTGGACCAAAAGAGACCTATGAGGCATGGAATAAGCTGGACATGCCCTTATGAGTGCGGCAGAAAGCAAACGCACTGGCAGGACAACATGATGACTGGGGGGTGGGGATGGGGGGAGAATCAGCCTCCTGCTGCCCCATGGTGGGACTCCTGTGCATCAGCTCAGGTTTCCCTGTGAATTAGGGGGTGTTGTGGTGGTGGTGGGGGATAGGGGGGGCTGGCGTGCTCTGGTCCATGGGGTCACAAAGAGTCGGACACGACTAAACGACTAAACGAACGTACGAACGTGGTGGTGGTGGTGATGTTTGTGTGTGTGTGTTTGTGTCTGTGTGTGTGTGTGTGTGTGTTTTGGTTCTTCAGAGGAGACGCTACTGGGAAGCCCCCGGCTAGTGATCCACTCCCTCCCGATCTGGTGGCGGGTCAGGATTCCAGCTGCTTTTCTTTCCAAATCAAACGGGCCAGGTTTAGACCTTTCCAAAGCGTGATGAAGGTGGCCGGGCGTCTCTTTCTGCCTGGGTGGCCCACTGCCTGCTTTAGCGTTGCTGCCTTTGTTTTCGGAGAGACGAGCCGGCTTCCCTTCTTCCTTTGGCAAAGGCAGTCTGTCCAGCAGCCTCTCTCAGCAAAGGCAGAGGCCTCCAGAGATGTTTAAATTACCAGCCGGGTCATAAATCAAAGGCAGCAACAAGACTACGCAAGGGTCCCTCCTGTTGCTGAGCTGGAGAAGGCTTCAGTATATTTACTGCGGTGGTAAAAAGAGCAGGCGGCGGCGGCGGCGGCGTTAACAAAAGCGAGAGAACGAGAGAAGAACCCCGCTAACAATGGCTCTCGCCTCTGTCTCGCTGCACAGCCTTCTCCCCCTCTGGCTACCTGGCGAGAAGAAGGCGGCTAAGGCGCGGTCGGTCGGTCAGATGAGCTGTGAGGAGCATGCAAAATGCCAAGC